TAAAACCCAACACAGAGAAAAAAATGCTGGTTGAAAAAAAAATTGAGAAAATAAGTGCTTTTGTACCACTACTAATTCTAAATACAATTTCACTAAAAATGCGAAGTGAACTTCTTGGTGACCACCGACTTTAAGATATATTTTATTATTAAACTTACATGTTATATAATTTAAAAACATCTCTAGGAACAATAATACTTCTATTTTTTATAATTGTATTTAATTCTGGATATTATCTAATACATAATCATGGCTGTTAAAATAAATTAATGGGGAATAGAACGAAACATTGCTACTGTGTCAAGTGATGTAGCATGTAGCCATTTGAAATGTTCATTATCATCATCATTAAGAACTAACAAGAAATTAGGCTTTACAGCATGTTTCTATTAGTTTATTACAGTATTCTGGTAGATTATAACTCTTTCAAGTGTTCCCTCTGTTGCCTTGTCTTTAGTGCTGTGATCCCTCTGATACCTGATCTCTGATCCCTCTTGGAATGAACTTTCAAATTAATTTTGGAAATCTGTTGTTCATTCTCTGTAAATGATCTTTCATCTCTTTTGAGAGTTCTCTCTCATCTACTAAACTTTCGGTTTTCAATTTCTTTCTGAGTCTTCATTTCTCAGTTTGTCTTCTTGTAATTCTCATGAAACTTATGAAAATTCTATCATATGCTGTGTATAGTTTTAGCTCTTTATTACTCATGTTTCAGAACCATACAACGATTCTAGGTTTACCAGCTATATTGTGAAGATTCAGTTTTGTTTCCGGGTCCATGTCTCTGCCAAAGTGTCTCTTATTGTTCCCCATGGTCTATTGCAGTTATTAGTATTTTTCTATGTGCCTGAATTTGGATGTACACACTCACGAATTTCCATGGTATGAAAATGTATTTACTTGTTCACTAATTTTCCATTTATGACTATATTGGCTCTCCTTCATTCCTTGCCTTGAATTGCCATAACTTTTGTTTTTTTGAACTGCTATTTGCAAGGAATATTCTTGGGCCACTTTTGTCAAATCAAAAACTGCTCTTTGTAAATTACCTTCAAATCCATTACGATAATTTAGTCATCAGCATACAAAATTGTATCTATCTTCTTTCTTTTGTGATTTGTGTTCCTTGTCTAACTTTCCTACTCCAGATTCTCACTAAGTGGTTAATATACAGTCCCTGGCCATATTATTAGACACACTCCAATTTTTAACAAAATGTTAAGTTTTTGAAATCTCTCTCACTGCAGTACATTACATCTGCATGTTGCGAATCAATCAATAATAACAAAGGTTCTTTTTCTAATACTTAACACATTGTCATTATGTACCATTGTTGTGACACCTCATTGTTGCTAGACACAAATTACAAGAGTTGAGTAGAACAAGAGTGACATGAGTAGTGTGTTGTTGCATGAAGATAGTTTATTTTCCATTTATTAGTTTGTGAAATAGTTTAGCCGTGTTTATTTAAAATTGTGAATTGTGAATTGTTGTATACAAAAAACAGATAGTTTTGAATAAAAATATGGAAAGGAAGTGATTTGTCTCCTCAGAAGAACGCAGCAGTGAAAGCTCTTGTCGACACAGAAAATTATTCAAATCGTGAGATATCTCGAAGGTTGAACGTATCCGAGACCATCTATTCGGTGAATTAAGAAAAAAAATTTTCCTTGCTGAAGAATTATCGCCACAAAGTGGCACACATGTGGAGGGAAGAGAATATTTCACAAGAGATCTGAGGGATGTTTGAAGAAGATTTGCCATGAAAACCAGTGTGCTGCTACTAAACAAATTAAATTTAAATTGGAAAGTAGTGGAATCTGTGTATCTGAAAGGACAGTAAGACGTACACTACTACAAATGAATTTTAAAGCTTGTAGACCAACCCACAAACCCAGATTAACAGCTGGAATGAAAGAAAAATCATCTTGCATGGGCTAAGAACCTTAAGAATAAAAGATTTGGACTTCTGGAAATCGGTAGTCCAGTGCTTTTTTATAATTATAAATGGTACCAAAATAATTCTAATGTCATTTACATGTATTTCAAGTTTGTTTTAATGACGAATGCACTTTCGAAATTCTAGCGAACAAACATCAATTTGTGAGAGGCGCCCTTGGTGAAAAGTATCATTCAGATTGTGTCATCCAGACTGTGGAACATCCAGTCAAGGCAATGATTTGGTCAGTTATCAGTGGCAGTGGCGGGGCGTCTGTTCCTGTGTTTACCATGGCCAGGAAATTCACCTCGCAGGATCATGAAACCCAACTAGAAAATTCTTGAAATATCGGGCACTCCCAAGGAAGACATCAGGATCAAATATCCAAACGAATAAACTCTAGCGCCAAATGCTGACAGGTTTAGTACGGATGAGTTTTTTATGAAAATAGTTTATATATTATACAACTGACAGTCATAATTTGCTTATGATATGCTTGTTTGTCATCT